ATTTGTTTGTCAACCAAATGTTGTGCAACTAAACAGGCTTCATAACCCATCACTTGTGTCAGCATATGTATGCGTTCTTGGAAGAGATTACAATGTTTCCCAAGTTTTATCAGTTATGTACAGTCCAAATGAACACTGGAGTGGAGTGCACCAACCAGGGAGATAGTGAACCCTAGCCCCAGCCCCCATTGCCCTCCTCCCAATTCCCAGCACCAACCTTATACTGAGCCAAACAAGGTATTGGCATACATGCTACTTTCTCCGCATGGCCACAAATCTAATGCAATGCTTACTCGCTGTAGTGTTTGGTTGGATACTGAAGAGCACTCTATAAAAAGTTACTATTAATACTGGATGCATGTTTTTTTTTCCCTCTTGAAATCTCCCGGGAACCAAAGTTTCCAATGGAGCCTCCTTGTGGTATTTAGAGTCAAATAAAAGCTAGCTTATAGAAGAATATAGAGGAAAGGGGCAGTCTTTCTATCTATCAGCAAAATAATGTTTTGCTGGGCTCGGATACATAGATGTAACAAAATACGTTTGCTCTCCTAGTGAAAAAAGGGGGCTAACTTTGTATCCACCAAAGTAAGGATTTTTTTTTTTGGGGGAGAGTTAATTGAAACCATGTCATTAGAATTTGTTTGGAGATATGCCACTAGAATTCATGCATTTGAAACTTGAAAGCATGCCATTATAATTTTAGTTTTGTTGAAAATGTGCCATTACAATTTGGACAATTTGTATAATTCCTAATAAAAGAAAAAAAACTTAGGCCCGCGCGGAGGCAAGGAGGGGAGGATAGGAGAATCGAACTAATAACATGATTTTCTATTTAATTTATATACGTGGTAACTTGTACAATCATAATTTGCTTGAAGGGTCAAGAATATAGTCACGCTGATATCACATATTCACGCCTGGCTAGGACAACACCACGAAAGGTTTGATTCGAAATTTTCTTACCGGCAAACATGTCCGCGCATTGCGATCGAAGGTATAATTTATTAATAATAAGATAGATATTTTCGTTGACTTTAACTGAGCTTGGTGCAACAATAAATCAAATAAATTCCAAAGCTCATAATAAGGCCTCCTTTCGAATGAAGAAGAAATTCATGTTATTGTGTTTTATTTTTCAATGAAAATAAATTGATCCCTTTAAAATTTCTATACAATTCCTGCAATTTTCCACTAAAGGGGCCTAAATGTTGTGCAATAAAAGATTAATTCATATTGAAATTTGACAGGAGATTTTTTTTTGACTCGACATAAGGGCCCCTTTGAAACGCAATAGTTTCATAGGAGCTGACGAACTGTGTACCAATTTTACAGAAATCAATTCATTTTTATAAGAAAAATGTAAAAAATAGGAAAACAAATACTACATCAATCCCGCTAAAAGAGACCTAAATAGGTGGCTACTGTATACACCTTTTGCAAGTTTAAGAAATATGGAAAGCGAGCTACATGCCCACACACGCACTATATCGCTAACGGGCTTGGATGGCCAAGCCAAAAGATGATGCAATGCCAATTGCCAATAAAGGTTTTACATCTCCAAACTCAAGTAAGAAGGATGAGAGTGAGAGATGATAGATCGAGAGATGGAATAAGAGTAAGCGAGTGAGTGACAGCTCCAAACTTAAAACAAGAAGTATAAGAGCGAGAGACAATGGACAGAGAGACGAAATAGGAGTGAGTGGATGAGTAAGTGACTGATAAACCGGCGCAAGCGGGTGAGTTGCAAGCGAGCGCCGACTTTTTTTTTGTTTTTAGCCATTTTTTCAAAAAAAAAATTCATGTTTACACCCCTGAACGACTTATATATGTCTTTGGACCCTAAGGATTGGCGCCATGAGTCACGGCGTCGAGATAACACACGTCTCGACGCCATGGCTCATGGCACCGAGCTTCGTGGCCAAGCGGTGGCATGGCGGTGATATATGACGCTGACGTGGCCAGTGCCACGATGCATGGCGCTGAGGTTGAGGCTCGACGCCGTGGCTATGACGTCAAGGCGTGTTACCTCAGTACCATTGCTCATGGCACCGACACTAAGGGTCTATATTTTGGATTAAGGTCGTCCAGTGAATATTTTTTCGGAAAAGGGTTGTGCTCACATATTGAAGATGAGTGGTGCAGCAAATGAAGATAATTTGGTGGAAGAAAATAAGACAGGAGGATGACAGGTGGGGCACGGATGCTTGGTGGTAACAGTGTCAAAACATAATAGGGAAAAAACTAAAATAACTTTGTCACCTTAGCCAAATGCTAAGTTGGAAGGAGCATGATTATCCCAAATGCTAAAGGCATACGATATGATCATTCCATCACTCTTTGGCCACAAACCAAACGCTACCCCACCTTCTACTAACCACCCAGTGGCATTCCTTTTTTATGTTTGATGCCTGGATCTTTCGGTGGTAGTTTATGTTGGCAAAATCTTTAGTGGTATATATTTTACAATTCTTAGGATCTTTCAATGCTACCCAACTAATTGTCCCATAAGAGCACGCACAATGCAAGCACACAAATGCATTAGCCTCAGACTAAAAGCTACTTCCATGTCGACAAAAAATAGAACTCCCGTTCTCCTTCTCCAAGGCCACCATCCGCCGGTCACATCGCATTCTTAAGCGTTGTCTTCTACTGTTTGTTAGATAGGGATACCAGTTCTTTTGCAGACTACTACAAGCCTTCGCGAGACCACTAAAGCAAGTGGGATGGAACGTTGATGCCGAGGTGCAGGCTGGGGCAGTACGCCATCCTAGAGCGTTGGGAAAGCCCTAAGCTTTAATGAATATAAAACAGAGAAGAATCATTTCTAGGGGTGAAAGCCCTTCCTAGCTTCGGCCTACGACGGTGGCGTCGGTGAATGTCACATTCCTTGTTGAAGGCATCGTTAAAGTATACCTACGACCACCTATGTCTCGACACCACTTTGAGCTCTTCCTGGCTCCTCTTCCTCCTCTCCCCCGCTCTTGTTCAACTACCCTCGTACTCCTTGCTTGTTGCGCACGCTGGTTGCTGACTTGTGTCGCCTCCAATGGCTTGCTCCGTCGTCCTCTAGGTCACTAGAGTGCTTCGTCTCATCTTATGTCGGGTTGAGGGACCATGATCCCCTCTCTTGGATCTCCTCATTCTCCTATCAATGGTCCTCAAAGGGTGTAGGTGGGCATCGCGGTTGGATCCCGGATGCTCCTCATAGGCGATGCAACTCTTAGCTATCGTATGTTGATTCTGACTCAGTGCCTTACAGCCACTTTTGGCTATCGTATGTCGGACTCGACTCAATCCTTTATAGCTGCTTGTGGAATAGGGCTCTTCGGCGTTTGTCATCCGATGGTGGCACCAGTCAGGAACTTAGTGCTCGTGCTTGTTTTGGGTAGTAGGTTAGTTGCACCTGTTGTTGTTTTGATGTTGTTGTAACTCTCTTCTCTCCCACTATACCATGTATCTCTTGGTCCTTTAGGGGGTCACCCTTGTAAGGTGCTCTGCACCCTCCATTACCGCCTTTGCCAGAATGAGTGGAAAATTATTTATAGGTGGGGCCGGACTATCGTCCCCGCTGACCTTTCAAAAAATATAAAACTGAGATAGGCATGCCAAGTGTCATAAAATCAGCATTAGAACTACAGCTGCTGCATATCTACTTGTCCAGTCACATAAAATTTAATTCATCATCAATATGGCCCAGCAACATGCATAGGGCAAGCTGTGCCCAAATTTCAACTGGGTTCAACAGACTAACCAGGTGTGAAGAACCATGGCACCCACAACATTCCTGTAACTTGCCGGTATCTAACTTGCAGCCTGAGGAGATGAGATCAGTATCGCCGGATGTCATTTGGTGGTTTGAATAATGGGATGGGTTTTCTGGCGTCGTTGTTAAATCCTCTTTCCACATCTTTATAGTTTTATATCTGCCTCGCAAGTCACGAGCCTAGACTACTAACATCGTAAGAAAAGGGCATATATACATGCCTCGCTCTCCAATGATCCTGAAATTGGAGATAGCAGTGGTAAGCATGAAGGTTGGAAATCCAAGTTTAAGTTCAAGTTCTCACATTCCACACTCTGCAACTTCTCAGATTGAGGCCTTGTACTGTCCAAGCTCTAATGTGTCTGAATATGCAACGACAATGTATGTGTGCTAATTGACATGATAGCACTGTAGGTTCCCATGATTTTGCTTTCTATCGCTGCAACTGCAGGTTCCTATTGCCACACTCTTGATTCCTTGTGCCCTCACTGATGCATTTGTGTGAAGCTGACCTACTACCAATCTGCTACATTTGTGCAAATGTGACAAGCATGGAGGCATCCCCTGCATAAGTTTAAGTTCCCATCCAAAACCGAACACGGGGGATGGATTACATAAAGATTAACAAGGGGTTTGAGTGACATAGAGGGATTCATTCAATCCCTCCCTGGGTTGGTTCTCCTTGTGGATTAAATACATGTCAACCCAACAAGGCCTTAGCATGACTTGCTCCATGGACATGCAGGAACGGGCTGGGCCGCCTTCGAAGCCGAGAAGCGGCGCCACAATTCAAGGCTGAGCTTGAGTGCCAACGGGAACACCAAGGACATGCGGGAACATGACCGCAACGCCCATAGGCCCATAATAATGAGATTTAAAAACAAGAGAACAGCAAGAGCCGGCGCGGCCTCACGGTGGCCACGTCGATGAATCGAACGAGGGCCGTTGGATTTGGAGATCGACGGTCCTGTTGTTTCCTTCCATGTCGGATATATACAGGCTTCAACCCTAGCTTCCCATCCGCATCTGCACCCGCCTCTCCTCCCTTTGAGGCTTTTACCTGTATACCCTTAAAAAATATGTCACACTCCTGCGTACCCCTCAAAAGTTGGTCGTCACCTATATGCCCTCGCTTGAACTTTTCTTTTCCCTCACGCCATTCCGTCGGCATTTGCTCCTAACTGTGGGTAATGGCTCTAGAGAATAACTCAGTTGCCCTTGGACTTGTATGGACGTCTCAACTTTTTTTTGTTTCCCCTGTGCCATTGCCAGGCCTTTGAGGGTGCTTCATGATGCTCTGCACCACGGCATGGGAGCTCCCGACGGAGTACCTGAACCCCTGGAAGCTCAGGCTGAGGCCGTGCATGGCGGCCTTGACGCCCTTGTTGAACCCGCGCGCCAGCTCGTTGAGGACGTCGATGCAGGCGCCCAGCGGGTGCAGGCTCCGCGGGTAGGGGCAGCACCCGATCGGCGGGACGTCGATCACCGCGAACTTCCTCGCCCCGAGCACGTACAGAGCCTGATTCAACCGCCGCCGGCCGGCCGGCCGGCCGCAACACACATTTCGTTTCAGCGAGGTTTCTCGGCGGGTCATGCATGGTTCAGAGAGAACGGGGCGGCGCGGCGACGTACCTTCACATGGTTCTGGTACAGCGCGACGAGGTTGCCGACGTACTGCTGCTTGTCGGCGTCCGACGGCGTGCTGTTCCGCGAGAAGAAGGCGAACAGGTCGTTGCCGCCGGTGCTGACGAGGAACAGGGACCGCGACAGCAGGGCGTCGGCGGCAGCCCCGTTGCCGACGCGCGAGGAGATGTTGCGCTGCACGGCGGCGAATTGCTCCACCTGCTTGCTCAGCGGGATGATGGAGCTCCCCTGCACGAACAGAGTCATCCACGTGTGTCATCTTTGCTTGTAGTTGCAGTGCCCGTGCAGGAAAGTAAACGTGCACGGTAACTCTGGTCACGAGTGGCTTACTGTTGTGTCGAGAATGCCTGATCCTGCAGAGGCGAAGTTTACTGCCAGGAGACCTCTGAAGACCTGCTTGTTGGTCTTGTTGGCCACGGCGAGGAACGGCGGCGGGCTGCGCTTCAAGCCCATGTTCACAGCTGGTAGAGTTGAACCAAAGCCTTTTAGTTTTAGTTTTAGCACCAGATGAACATGTTCACAACACGATTCTCCTGCTCGCTGCAGTTCTCGTGTTCTCAGAACTTGAAGAATACTCTACAATCATTTTCGAAACTGTTCTGTTTCCTACTTGTAGTTGCAGAGAACAACTAAAGGATTGACAAGAGCAAATGTTCAGAGCAGTTGAGCGACAGTTTAGATTTTATCGTCTCAAAGGTGCTCAGGAAAAAGGTGTGTTCGCCGCGCCGCCCCGTTCTCTCTGAACCATGCATGACCCGCCGAGAAACCTCGCTGAAACGAAACGTGTGTTGCGGCCGGCCGGCCGGCCGGCGGCGGTTGAATCAGGCTCTGTACGTGCTCGGGGCGAGGAAGTTCGCGGTGATCGACGTCCCGCCAATCGGGTGCTGCCCCTACCCGCGGAGCCTGCACCCGCTGGGCGCCTGCATCGACGTCCTCAACGAGCTGGCGCGCGGGTTCAACAAGGGCGTCAAGGCCGCCATGCACGGCCTCAGCCTGAGCTTCCAGGGGTTCAGGTACTCCGTCAGGAGCTCCCATGCCGTGGTGCAGAGCATCATGAAGCACCCTCAAAGGCCTGGCAACGGCACAGGGGAAACCAAAAAGTTTCAGACGCCCATACAGGCCCAAGGGCAACTGAGTCATTCTTCAGAGCCGTTACCCACTGTTAGGAGCAAATGCCGACGGAATGGCGTGAGGGAAAAGAAAAGTTCGAGCGAGGGCATGTAGGTGACGACCAACTTTTGAGGGGTATACAGAAGTGTGGCATCTTTTTTAAGGGTAAACAAGTAAAAGCCTCCCTCCCTTTCCCTCACTCAGCGGCGGCGGCTAGGGCGGGCACCGGCGAGGGAGGCCCTCGCCCCGGCAAGGGCGGCCAAAAGGGCGGCCCTCAAGTGAAAGCGCGACGCTGAGGGGCCCAAGCGCAGCCGCCTGGGCATGAAAGCAGCGTCATGAGGGGCTCAGCCACGAGCCGCCACAGGAGAGGGCGCCCTCATGTGGCCCCGGCGAGGGTGCCCTCTGGTAGGGCGGCCCCCGACGCGGCAAGGTATTTATGTGTGTGCTTCTTCCTTTTTTTCTTTGGACTAACTCCCAATGAATTTCATTCTCACCACAATTCCTTTGTATGGCTCACAGTTTTGTAAACTGATAATGACTGCTGTTAATGTTCAAAGTAAAGGGATGGAGCATGGAGGCGGAAGGAAATTTCATTTATTCATGTAGGCTTCTCCATGTCCTTGACATCTCAGCAATCTAGAATTTCCTTAGGTTTGGTCAATATATTTACATTACCTTTTTGGACAGTGTATATAGTTCCATTCGATTTTAGATTTTGTATGGTTTGTAACAGACTGATTACTTTGCTGCGATGCGGATAGCTTTGTTACTTGGTAGCTACTAAGAAAAATGCCTCCGCTACAGCAAGGTAAAGAGACAGCTAAAAAAACTAGATGGCTATAGTGTCAGCCGCGGGTCCTGTTTCATATCCAATTGGTGCATGGACATAAACATGACAAGATGAAAAGAGAGTCATCAGTAGAACCAAGAAAATTCTAGCTTTAGTGCCTTGTCCATCCAATTTAGCCTTTTAATGTTGTGTTGCCCCCTTCTCCCTACAGGTTGTAGTCAAGTCCTAGAATAAATTTGTATGTGCGCAGTTCAATTTCTTTTTCTCTTTCAGATTCTCAGGTGACATGTGCTTAGATTTTTTGTAAACTAGTCCCAAAATAAAGTAGAACCAAGTATGCATTATTTGTCTATCCATATGGAGCTTTATTCAGTATATTTTGTTATTTGCCTATTTATATAGAGCTCTACTCAGTATATATATTTCACAGTGCTATTTTACCTTTTACAGGATTAAAAGCATATCCTATGAATTGCTAGACTATTTCCATATGTCACGGACAAAGTAGCCTCCATGATCGCTGATTTAGTAAGCTTTTGGTTGTTCGCTCTTAGATGTTCACTTCAGTGCCTGTGCATTCATTTGTTGCTTTGAGTTTATTTACATATGTATGGTTCGATCGCAATTAGGATGTCTGACAATGCTATTTTACTGATTATGGGTGTTATCTCTGCACAAATAACTAGTTCTCGTCTTCTTGGTTTCCACTTTAGTGGCTCCCTTGCAACCTATAGTTTGTGGTGGTTTCCTGGATCATGCTAATGCAATGATAGCCGGTTTCATCTCGTGGGAACAAATTGTATACCATAACTAATGGGTCAATTCCCTAACTGCTAATTGTATGTTCTGGTGCCTAAGTTTCTGGATCAGATTAGGTCCAAGGATCTCACTGTTTCCCGGGCTTGCTGCATTTTTCACAGGGTGGGGGGGCCGGGTTGGGAGGAGGACTGCTGCAGCCATGATGGCCTCATTGTTGTCAGAGGCTTTGGCATCCGCCGGAAGACCACTGTCGCTCAGCTTGTCTAAGCAGTTGGTGGAGTTCGCCAGCAGGCCCATGATCCTGCATCAGGTTAGCACGATTGCTACATCTGTGGGACAAACGGAGAGCAGTTTGCATGGCCAGTTTCTAGATGGAAGGTAGGATGTTCGTGTGGATTATAGAATAGTTTTATATCTTTTGTTTCCACATGAGAGTAAACATTCTGTACTTAATGAAGTAGGTAGCAATGATAAGATCTAGAATGGTTAATTACATTGGTTTTTGTATGGATGTAGGATATGCAACCAAGTTCAGCTGCCTCATCAGGATTTGGCTATTTTTATGCCAATCATTTTTATCCTGAGCTTATGAATAATGGCTTAATTGCAGAGTTACAGACCATGAGAAAAATATACTCCTTTCACATGGGTGCAGGCAAGGAAGACACAAACACATAAGTAAGGTAAATGTCATTGACTTACTTCTTTCAACTTCTAATTCCTATGACTTTAGGGAAAAACATTAATACTCTGGGTTGATGGTCTTGTTGGCATGAAGAAGAAAAAAGAAATTTTAGAACATTGCTCATGTAGTGTCAAGATTTGAAATAGTTTATTACATTGGCTTCTTTGTTTTTACTAAGAAATGTGATATATCACGTTAAGCAGTACATTGGCCAGGGTTCAGCCAAAAGGTCCACACTGGCGCAAAAAGAAAACTTACACCATCCGCTCTAAATTTATGATTGGTGTTCACCAACATTTGGTCCAAGTCCAGTCATTATGACTCTATGATGTTTTTGGGTATGACTGCTCTGAAATTTGAATGAATCAAGCTCTCTTTCTGTTTCTGAATATAGCATTTTGAGATTAGGGACTGCTTGTATTTGCATCTGATCAGATTTGATAACACTCAGTCTAGACTTCAGTTAGACAGAGGTTTCTAATGAGTTCCATGCACCTCGCTTTCATCTAAATGACAGTTTTCCCTTCCAAGCTAATCATTGCTCATGCATCATCCATATTTTTCTTGACAGTTAGCATGCCTATTGCTTATTATTGCTCTCCACATTTATTTGTGACGATGATGCGGAATGTACATCTAAGAAGACCAGGACCAAGGAACGGTCTACCAGCCAGAAAGATGATACCCTCCGGCGCATTGCAACGAGGTACCTTTTGTTGTTTATATCTCCCCTTCTTAATGTTGTTCAAGCTATTCGGTTATTGCATTCTAATTGGTCGAACACATCTTAGTGGCAAAGCAAACCAGATGGATAAAAAGCTTAGTGACAGCAGGATGGGCACCAAGGAGGCCACTCCTCCAGAACGAAACTAAATCAGGTAAATATCTCTTCTTCATATTTAGCCAAGCTTTATATACTCCCTCCGCCGTGAAATATAATGGATCCAAGTTTGTAGTAAGTCAAACTTTGTTAACTTTGACCAAAATTATAGGAAGAATAATATTTATGATATCAAATTAATATAATTGGATATAGTATGAAATATATTTTCATAATTCACATCTTTGATCCGGTACATATTAGTACTCCTATAAATTTGGTCTAGATTTGCTTAGTTTCACTATTTCTCGACAGAGCGAGTACCTAAGTACTTACAAATCTTTGCTTCCTAATTCCAGATATCCACCAGTAGACTATTGTTGTGGAAGTGTCTCTAGTCCAAAAGTGTGTTGAGACCAATCCTACTACTGCCGACTTGCAGCATATAGGCAACTGCATGTTCTTTTGCTCAAGACACCACAGCCAGCCGGCCTAGCCCACAGAACAGTTGTGCCCATCTAAACATATCAAATTGCCTAGGGAAAAAAGGAACTTCACCCCATGTTTGCATGGCTCCAGCATCATGTGTCTTAGCCGATTTCACATAAGACCTCTTATGGAACAAATGAATCTTTTAGTAGTACATGTATATAAAAAGTTACCTCTGAGCTGCCATGTTCAGCGATTGGCGCTGCTACGAGAGATCGTTCTATGTAAAATATATGTATTGCTTATAGACATCTAATGTGCCAGTGTAGGCCTGCCTCGTGTAAGACTAAGTGCTATTTGAACACTCTGTGTCTCGTGTAATATATATGTGCTGTTTTGACACATGTTGGCAGCTGTCTTAGAATGCATTGCTGGACTACTTGATAACTGAAAGGTGGAGGGAAATGCATATCGAGTTTACTATTTGATAGTGCTGCTCCATTATCCATATACAAGCACGGCCAGTGACTCGCGCGCATGGGCGTGCGCAAATCACTAGTCATACATGAAACACGCTAGCCTCAACTTTTCGTTTTTAATTGTCTGTGCTTAACTTTTATTTTACTTCGCCTATACAATAAAAATTTCGGCAAGACCTTTGTCATTCTTAAAAATAATAATCGAGAAGACATGAAATTTTGCTAATAACCTGCCCCCAAAAAGGTACTGTAGGTAAAGAAACTATTGGGCCGTTGGGAACAGCCGGCAACCGCAGCGGCTTACTACATTATTTACAGTATAAATGAGTTATAAGCGAACAACCAGTCAATTAAAGCAGCGGTACAAAAGAATCCTTTTCATATTCTCCACCCAGACTAAATGAATCGAATTTGTTCTTTCAAGAAAGTTCTTACTGAATTATTGGTGGTGCAGTGGCAAAAGAAAGTTCCACTGAATTATTGGTGATGTAGCTTGCAAAGCACTCACGAACCAGATTCAAAATTCTACGAATGTTTTTATGTCCATTCGGTAAAGAGACAGACAAATGGAAATAAACCAAGCAATTTCAAACGGTATTTGAAAAAAAATTCTTAGTATTTTGCAAAAGAAAAAAATGAATACCATTTTCTAGTGATATCAGAGAAAGTGATTGAATGTCTTAACAATACTGCAGAACACAACAACCATGGAGCGGATGGCGGCATATCACTACTTGGTGTGTTGGAGCTGATAATGATCTGGCTTCACTGCTAGGTCAAAAGCCTTATTGACCTGGCAGTAAAGCCCCCTATCACTTTCAGATAGAGCTATGGGCCGACAGTGATATGGGGAATAATATCACTATCGGGTCATTGTCAGAACTTGCCAATGATACGCCAATGCCAGGTTCTGGCTCAACCTCTAAGAGGCAGGTCAAGTATGGGCTTAAGATAGGGATGCAATTGAGTTAGCCCGTGAACCCACATATAGGCTTAATTTTATGGATTTCTCATGACAACCCATACATTAAGTCTATATGCGGGTTCGCGAGCCGATCGCTTGCATCCCTAGATGATGACAAAGCATGGTAATTTTAGCAACGTTAGGAACAAGAGTAACCCCAGTTGAGAGCTCAAGGAAGGTTCACCAATAAATGTGCCGACTGCCGAGTGTGGGAAGCCTATCCCGCAACATTTGCATAACCTAGCTCATACCTGAGTTAGATATGACCAAAATGTTGGGTGTGAAGGAACATACTAATATTATTGTTATGTGGATGTGAAAATACTGCATAGAAATTTATCATCATTATCCATCCCAATGAGTATTTAAGCATTAGAACTATGGATTTCACCTCAAGTAGTGTCAACCCAAGAAAGAAAATGATGCCCGGAAGATTGGGAGGCCAAAAATTCACTTCAAGCTATCTCCCATGTCATTTACTGTACAGATGGACTATCCTCCGAAATTCACCAATAAATGTTGTTGTCTTGTATCCTAAAACTTTTGCCTTATCTACCCTAAATTTTTCTTCACATGTGTGTTGTTATCCGGGAGTTTCAGAAATTTTAGAAATGATTCACTATTTTCTATAACTTAAATAATTTTTGCGTATCTATCGAAAGAAATTTCAAACTGAACTTCGTGCACCCCTAATAAGATTAGAAAAACTACCTAAAAATTATATTTGTGCTCATTTGGTCCATTCAAGCCCTTTTCATGGAGATAGACGGAAAATTCAACCTTGTTTTGCTAGGTTGACTTCATGTTGGTTGAAAGTTAAACAATTTTTTTGCGGGGACAAATAAGTTAATCGTGAGAATATCTAATTAATATTCTTGTTAAGAGTTAAAATACATTTCGTTATGGGTATGCAATGGTAATGCAGCCCTGCGATTGCACGTCATAACTATAAAGATAAGGATTCCATTTGGTGGAACAGTGTAGATTTTCGTATATATTCCCTATATATAATGGAGGTTGTGTTCCCGACCCATCGGGTTAGGAGCACCTCGAAACACATCCTAAGGTGCATATGCCCCTCCAGTTATATGTGTGTGTGTGTGTTTGGCGGTGTGCTTGTTCACTACTCTCATTCGACGACGTACGGGGCGGCGGGTGGTCTGTTGACAGTACTATATCGGTGCTGCCACATCAGAGTGAAATTATCAAGCCATCAGATAAGTCAAAATAATGGTGGGTGACACAATGCAATTTTCATCAAGAGTTGTGCAGGCTGCTACCTCTGAATCAGTCAACCGTACATGCATGCATTTTCTTCATCAGCTAATAAGGCAGCAAATCTGAATGATCCACCTGAGTTTCAGCAACAGTATTGATAGTATATGATGCAATCTGCTGTTAATCAAATCATCAGAGCATTAAACTTGACAAGATTGGTCCACGGGGAGGACGCGGCGGCGGCGTTAGAGACGTCCAGGTGCCTCCGTACCGGCTGCTCCGCCTGGAGATCCATAGCAAATACACCATCAACGGGATCTCCTTCTCCTACATCGGCAGTGATGGCAGTGTGCACCATGAGAGCTGGGGCGGTGGTGGCAAATACGTCCCCTACACCGGCCGTGATGGCATCGTTTTCGAGGAGTATCCGGTATAGTAAATCAATTTTACTCTCTCTCTCTCTCTCTCTCTCTCTCGTTTTGACAAAAGAAAAACATGCATTTAGTAGCTGAGTTTTGCCTTTTTGTACAGATTCAACTTGGTCTAACGGACTATGTGAAGGAAATCTCTGGGACGACTGGTGCATATACTGATCATCCCAACATCGTACGGTCACTCAAGGTTGTCACCTTCAAGCGCACGTACGGACCATATGGCGCCACCGACGGCGCTGGAAGTCCTTTCTCCTTCCCGGTGCAGGGCAGTGCTCGTATCACTGGCTTTTTTGGACGCTCCGGCGACTACCTGGATTCCATTGGGGTGTATATCCGTGAGTGCTAACAAGCTAGCTCCATGCCTCCATCATGCTGCGTGCACTCCGACCAGTAGGCAGTACGTGCCATCTATTATATTGGTTTTAATAACGTTCGTGCCAACTTTTTTTTTCCTTCATTGTATATTAAAAGAGACAAACATTCTAAGAAGACAGGTATCGCCTCTGATAATAATTGATTTGAGATGTATGTGTATATGAGAAACATCATGTTTATGCCTTGTGAAATAGTTAAAATTTAAGATGTATGTATATGGATTTTTTTTTATGATTTTTAATTTATGTCCACTAATTGGAGAAATACTATATGCCTATGCCTTGATAATTAAACCGAAAACTCTATGCAGTTGAGAAGATTGTTAGTGAACTCGTCTTTTTGTATAATAAAGTTATGTCCATGCTATTTTCATGACCACAGCAACCGATGGATAATCAACCGAGCACGCAAGGTGGGGAAGAACAACCCATACCGCCGGTTAATGAATTTGTCACAACGAGCCCTAGTTTAAGTGAGGGTGTGTGAAAGGACCTTAAAATGATTAGAGGAGGGTGAATAACCTATAAACACTTTCAAAATACAATTCAAAATTAGGCACAAAGTTAGTAACAAAGGTGGATCTAATAAGCACTTGTCGACAGAATATCGTCGGCAGTCCTCCGAGGGGTATCCCACGAAGGTAGATTGATCGGCAGAGGAACGCGTGATCAAGAACAAGAAGGCAACAGAGACACACGAGTTATATAGGTTCAGGTCGTCAGTATGACATAATACCTTACTCCTGTGGTATGTTGGTTTGTATTAGCTATCGTATGATATGCCGTTATTTTGGAGGGGGTCCCTGCCCGCCTTATATAGTCCGGGGGGGCAGGGTTACAAGTTGGTTAGATCTGAGAGATAACCGGAAAGTAATAACAGATTACAAAAATCATGGGATCATACGTATCCTAACAGATCTCATAGTATCTTCAGGATATCCTTCCTATATCTTGCGGGAGGCGCCGAGCAGAATCGTGTCCCGCAAGGCTTTATTTTGTGGGCTGGGCCGCCCCTGGGGGCGCAGCCCATGTGGTCTGCCGTGGGTATCCGGGGTCGTACCCCCCACAGCTAGTCCCCGAGCGCCTTGTACCTGTTGTGCAACGCTGTCCTGAGCGTGTCTGAGCAAATGCAAACCAAAGCCGAGCAGTCCGACTCATGGTTCGACCTCCGTGATGAGTCGCCGAGCAGTTGTGAGCAGTTGCCGAGCAGCGTGCAATCATTGCCGAGCAGCGTGACCCATAGTCGAGCAGCATATCCCAAGTACGGCTTGCCATAAGGGTGTAAGGAGCTCTAGTCCAGAATCAAAAATTTCTTCGCAGTGAACCAAGTGTGCCCACTTAGAGTCCGACCACGAGGAAAGGAGATAACCTTCTTTAGCTTCAAGAGGCACGGAGTCTTCTAGAAAAAACAAGCACATTCACCGTGAGGTGAAGTGTGCCCACTTAGTCCCCGAGCCTGACAGTAGATGACATAGTCATGTGGTGCTAGGGTCCAAAGTAGAAAAATAAAAGAAAACCAGCCGAGCAGGCAGCCAGTCCAAGGGCGTAGCCCCCAAAACGAGATAAAGCACATTCACCGCAAGGTGAAGTGTGCCCACTTAGTCCCCGAGCCTGACAGTAGATGACGTAGTCATGTGGTGCCAGGGTCAGAAATAGAGAAATAATGAAAACCAGCCGAGCAGGCAGCCAGTCCCCGAGCTCCAAGCGAAGATATCGGACAAATCAAACCGTGGAGAAAAAATCGGAGCAACGGCTGTACAGTAACGGTTACCGAGCCTCGATAAATGGCGGAGAAATCGACGATTATTTGGCGAGTAACAACAGACGGCGGCGATAAATGAGCGACATGGGCTACGGTTGCGTGAAAGCCCAGGTTGCAGCCAATTAAGCCGCGTCGAAGAATTCAGAGCAGCGCAGATCACGAGAACGGTTTCCCAAAAACCCTCGAATGCGAAAGGGTGGGGAAAACACTTTATAACGGTGCCGCCGCATACCCCATTCCCACCTTTTCCACTTCATCTTCCTCCTCATCTCTCGCATCCCCGAATCCGCAACCATATTTGCCTCCGCCGCCAAACCCTAACCAGATTTGGGAGATGGCGCCAAAGAAAGGAGCTACAAAATCGAAGAAGGCTAGTCCCAAGAAGGCGAACGCTGTGGCCCAGCGCGACGAGGAGTGGGTGCCATCGCGAATGGGAGAGGCGGAACTAAACGGATTGGTGGAAGACGGCGTTCTCCCTGACCGTGCTACCGCCGGATGGTGGCCAGCCCTTGGTGAGTCCTTCCCAACACCTCATACTGACTAAGCAGTGGTATTCGAGGATTATTTCTGGCGCGGGTTAGGATTTCCTGTTCATCCATTTCTAAGGGATCCATTGGAGCTCTGGGCGGTTAGTCTGTGCAACCTCCACCCCAATACCATTTTGCACATCTCAATCTTCATCCATTTCTGTGAGGCATACCTCAGAATCCTACCCCACTTCAATCTCTTCTGTCACCTATTCTGGCTGAAGAAGAGAGGCGGCGCTGGTTCCAAGGTGGTCGGCGGAGTGTACCTTCAGCTGTGCGATGGGATGGCGAGTGAATACCTCACTGTGCCACTGAACACATCACTGAAGGGGTGGAACACCAGATGGTTCTACATGAAACAAAACCATCTAGCAGTCCGCTGTGACACCGACCATATCTCGGAAAATCAGAAGAGTTGGTCGGAGATGTCGAGCAACGACGATATGGAACAAGTAAAGGAACTCCTTAACTTAATAAAGAGCGTGAGGACCAATGGCGGATTGGTAGCGGTGAGTTTCATAGTGCGCCGCATTCAGCCATGTAAAGAGAGGGCGCACCCAGGCTTCGAATTCAAAGGGGAGACCGACGGTACTCGAGAGAGGCCAGAGATATTGTCTAGGAATGTTGTTGAAGAGCGGACTGCTGAGCTATTCACTCCACTTGCTTCATTCAGATTGTCAGGGTACACAAAACCCTTTAACTGCAAAAATCTGCCTCCTCAGGTGAATATCCCAACTGTATATTTCTGAGAAGTTTTTTCTTTTATCATTACCGAGCAGTAGACTGATTCACTCATGTGAAGATCCATTCGTAGGATAGGGCGGAATACTTCTCGGGCGTGCCGAGAAGCGATTGGTCGGCGGCAGTAGATGCACGACCACCTCCTCAACCTGAAGAAAGCTCCGTTGGTGTCTCTTCAGAATCCGGAGATATGGACGTTGGTCGAACGGAGAGTCATCCCCTGGTATCGGAGAAAATCCGGGGGAAGAGGTCGGCGGAAGACGAGCCGGCCCAGAAGAAGAGGAAAACAGCAGTTGTTGCTCCTCTTAAACCAGGCGGCATCTTGCTTGGCGATGATCAAACCAATCGAACACGAAGGACCACGGTGTTCGATTGGTCCGACGACGACGAAGTTCCGACGGCTCCTCCACCGAGCAGTGGCGCGCGCGCGGGGGATCAATCAGGGGAGGCGAAGAAGTCCATGATCCGCCAATGAGAAGAGTCCCCGAGTAGCGGGCGGAGGGATTTTCTGCACAGCAAATGACTAAAGTCCCTGCGTGGCGAGCAACGGAAGTCCTCGAGCAACAAGCGGAGGCGAATCCAGAGCAGCAGGCAGAAAAGAGGCCGACCGAGGAGGAGCCGAGAATTCCCCAGCAGAGCACTGGAGTCAACCCCGCAACTGTGCCAGGGGGCTCAGGCAGGCATCGCCGATTCAAGAAATTGAACCGTAAGACCAAACCATAAGCGTCCTTGTGTTTGAGTTACTTTGCTATAATTTCTTAATTTCTGCGGTGACTGACGAACCGTTTTGATGCAGTGCAAAATGAACGACAGACCCAGCCCCATCCGTTCAGACTGAACAGCAGCCGGGAGCTGGCCCTGGAGCGGGGGTGATGCCTGTGGACCCCATCCAAGAGTTCCTGAGTGCTCGACAGCACGCGGGAGAGCCAAATGCTGCCCCTGGTGGACTTGGCGGCAGCAAACGGTTGTCGACGATGGTGAACGAGTCGATTGTGGCACCCTCGATAACCGCGGAATCTAGAGCGGAAAGTCTTGTGGTGCCGAGGGAGCCGACAGCACTCCCCGATGCATCGGAGGGCATGGTCGGACCCACTATCCAGCCACCGAGTCCCCAGGTGGTCCCTCCGGCTGCAACAGAAGAGGACGAGGTGGAAGAGATCGAGCATGATTAACCTCGCCCCCAATCAGTCCGGATCCTCTGAAAGCGCGGCGACGATATTGTAATTGTCGAAGAGGAGGACACCACCAAGGAATTCAGGAGACTGGAGACCTCCCTTACCAGGGTGATGAGGCAGATCAAGGTTAGCACTGCACCTTGAAAGGTCCTAGTCAACGTTTGGAATTGGATATCGACACTGTTATTGTGCATTTGCAGGAGATAACTCGGATTGCTGAGCAGCGTCGCCAACTGATAAAGAGGATGGAGCCCCTCGCCGAGGAGAATGAAAAACTCAAAGAGGCGATGAACCTCTCAGAGAGAAACATCTAGAGAGCCCGACATGAACAAGACCTTGCAGAGTCCAATGCGCAGGACCTGGAGTACCAGAATGGGGTCCTGACCGAAAAGCTGGCTGCTTCATCCGAGCAGGTGCGGAGCCAGTCCAAGCAACTGGCCGTTGTCTCTGGCCAACTGAAGAGTGCCTCCGAGCAGCTGGAGAGGAAATTCGAGCAGCTGAAAAGTGTATCCTAGCAGAAAGCAGGTTCAATATATCGGCGATTGTATTTTCATATTGCTGTACAACCATATTTTTTGTGATAACTATTGCACTTGTAGAGCAAGACGCTGAACTTGGCCGTCGATCAACTTCGCCAGGAGAAGGCGAAGGAAATAGAGCGGACAGACAAACTAGCTGAGGAGCTGAAAGGTGAATTCCTCTTGGTCGGAATTACTTTTAAAGTAGCTTCCTTGTATGATAGAACATTGTAACGCTTGCAGGCTATC